GGCTATATTTTTTCTCTTTTAAACATAAATTGCAAAGTTATTCTAATTCTTAACTTTGCGTGATATTAGTGTCTTTATATAGTGCACTATGTTTAATGTTCTGTGGTATTTGTGTATCCTGGAAACGTTATCGGATATAGGAAATTTCCTTTCTATCGGTAAGTAGCTGGGATCGACTGTTGTACTCCAGCAAGCCTATCAATATTAGTTATAAGCAGTTCTTAAATTAAAGAAGTAGAAATAATTATCATTTAATAGTCTTAGGACATATTTATCTCATAAGTTAATGCATACCTCTAGAATTTCCAGAATGTGTAAGTATTTACATAAGAATTCAGTTATTTTATCAAACATGTTATGAAATTTCATTCAGAATATTTGTTAAAATACTGAATTTTCACATATCGATAGCATTTTTTCAGCAATATTCTACATTGCATATCATAAATGCACAACTGTTGTTATTCAAACGTAAATTTATATTTCTGTTTAATAAAAAGTTTCAATATTTTGATGGATATGTCAAATGTAGGCATTGTTATATATGTATACACAAACTCTTTAAATATAATAGCATGTATAATTTTAAACTGGTAAGTATACTTTAATAAAATTTGTAATTGTAATATAATAAGCTTCGTTAAACAAAACTTGGAGCAAGTGTACATACAATTGCTGCTGCAGGGTCGGCTTATAAATTAATATTTATTTTTAATGTCTAATTAATAATCTCATGCTCCTTATAGTTATATTATTTAAATCATTTTGTTAATGTAACACTTGTTGTTATACAATGATAACATATCGCTGTATATATTTATATATATATAAATACATATCATTACTTTCTGTATTTACATTCACTAATTTCTACATTACGCCTACCCTAATGACACATTGTGCCTTTTTTAAAATTTACAACAATTTTATATTTTCAGAAATCACTGAGAATTTTTCACAGACCTGGATCGGTTATGCAGAATTTTGATGATCTTGATATAGAAGGATGTAATCCTTCCCACCTAACGGAAGCAGGCAAGGAGAAGGTAATGCACATTGAAACACATGTAGGATAACAATTAACAAATTTGAGGAAACTTACAGATTAGAACTTACTACATATTGTAATATTCATTTATTTAATATAATAATTTATATATAACAAACTTATTTCATTTATATAAATAATTACAATTAATCATATAGTACAAGCAGAATTTTGATATATTGTTTAAATAATTTACNCATTACGCCTACCCTAATGACACATTGTGCCTTTTTTAAAATTTACAACAATTTTATATTTTCAGAAATCACTGAGAATTTTTCACAGACCTGGATCGGTTATGCAGAATTTTGATGATCTTGATATAGAAGGATGTAATCCTTCCCACCTAACGGAAGCAGGCAAGGAGAAGGTAATGCACATTGAAACACATGTAGGATAACAATTAACAAATTTGAGGAAACTTACAGATTAGAACTTACTACATATTGTAATATTCATTTATTTAATATAATAATTTATATATAACAAACTTATTTCATTTATATAAATAATTACAATTAATCATATAGTACAAGCAGAATTTTGATATATTGTTTAAATAATTTACGCTTTCTATAGTTCCATATTCTTTGTGACGAATATAGAAATTTTTTTAATAAAATGTTATCTAATGTTTTATTGATTTCCAATATACGATGTGTTCATGTTCTGCAATATGAATATTATTAAAATAGCAATTACTTGTACACTTGATAAAGTATTTGTATTCCACAGAAAGAATATGATCGAAAACGTTTAATGAGAAGCAGTGTCACTGCTGAAGGTGGCACGCTTAGGCCTGTGTATTCTGAAACAGAAGGTGGTGATATATGGTGTCATATATGTAACATAGCCCTGTTCGGAGCTCACAAGTTACTGAATCATAATATGTGTAATCGTCATAAAATGAAATTAGATGAATGGCCATATCCAGTTTTGTTATGGTCCAAACGATCAGATATTGTGAAAACAGCACCACCGACACAGTTGGCAGCTATTGGCGATGGTTTGGCACCTGGAGAACCAGTACCACCTGGTATGGAAGACCAAGTAACTAGAACAACAACGATTGAGATGAGTTTAGATCGCCATAGAAGTTCTCCTCTTGTGGGCCTTGAATACCTACTTGAACTGGTTGATAGGGATTCTTGCGAACCCAGTTATACATGTGTTTTATGTGATAAAAGGGGTGACCCTCGTACTGTTATGGCTCATATTACCAGCTATAATCATAGAATAACGTATCTAAATCGACATTTTCCTACAATTTCGCGTGCTATTACGGAACTCCCGCATACTCCTAATTATAAACGCGGAGCTAATGAAATATCGGTGTTAGTGGCTAAGAAGATTGAAGAACGATTTGGAAGATTGCAACCGCAATTGGTAGATAAGAATCAATTTGAAAAAAATAAAATGCAGTACATCAAGAGAGTCTATCAGGATTATCACTTTAGGTAAGTTGTAATTTGTTTTGATTATATTAAGCTTTATATAGTAGAGCACTGTTATGAATTGAGAATTTCAATTCACATGTTTTACAAAAGTCAATGGGTGTTATTAGACAAGGTGCGCGTCAATCGTTTTCGTTATTAATTTACGTTTCGTACAAATCAATGGCTGTTTCCTACATGCAGGGAAACACCAGAATTAACATTTATGGATGTTTACGATGTGCGATGGGTAACAAACTTTGAAGAAAAGATGGCTGAAGTAGCTGGTAAGAGTGGTATAAAAAAAGGTAAGTATATAAAATCTTATATCGTTGAAGCAGGGAACTTCTACTCCACTGTTGTTCTATGATATAACGACTATTTTATATTAAGATTCTCAATCTGGTGATGAGAAGTCGGATGATAAACACAAAAGTGAAGACAAGAAGCATGAAAAGTCTCCACCAAAGAAAACTGATTCACAACCAGATACCACAGAATCGTAAGTTAACATTTATTTAATTCAACCTTCTCAAAGAATTTTTTAGTAATTGAAAGTTTATCAAGTATTCTGATTTCAATTACAATTTCAGTATGATAAATTAATGGTTGTTTCTTAGTCTAACATAATTTCAATTAAGGTTATGTTTCATATTTTTTTAGGGGATTCAAGATTCGCATTTTCACAAGAGATAAATTAAATATTCGCAAGCCTTTAGATAAGGAAGAAGAAAATGTGAGAAAGTCTCCAAAACGGCCCTCTGATGAAACGAAGTCTCTTTCGTCCCTTTCAAGTATATCAAGTAGCCCATCACCATCACGTTCAAGATCGCGATCTCCCGTTCGTAACCGAAAAGCTAATTCAATAGACAAAAGCGGAAGGTATCGTACTAAATCGCGTTATTCGCGAGATCGAATTCGTTCTGGTACACGTTCGCGATCTCGTTCGCGTTCACCAGAACCACTCAGAGAACGCGATAAGTGGGATAAATATCGTGAACAAATTAGACGTGCTGAAGAGACACTTGATCGTGCATTAAAATTTCACGAGAAGAACCCAGAAAAGCATCCATCTTACCCCGATGAATGGAAAAAGTTCTGGAACCGACGGTACAAAGAGTTGCAAGCAGAGGGAAAAGATCCTAGTAAGCATGACTTCAAACCAGAATGGATAGAATTTTGGAACAAACGAATGCGCGAGATCCATAACGAACAGCTGCAACAAAGGAAAGAAGAAATTAAGAAGCGATTGGAGTTGCCAGAAGACAAGCCACCAGAAAAATGGATACCATCGAACAGACGTGACAGATCTCCACCAAAGAGAAATCGTCATCGTATAGAGAGCGATGATGAAGTAGAATATGTCGGTACAAAAACAATTAAAACGGACTATTACGATCATCATGATATGAGAGAACGCGATTACGCATATTTGTCGTATATGCGAGGAAGAGGAAATATGTACAGAAGTAATTACTACTCTCGTGGTGTTACACGTTCAAGATCAATACACTACGCAACTCCTTACCCAGTGAAAGGGAAGTCTCCAAGTCCTATACCGGATGTCATAGTAACTGAAGATTTAGAAGTAGTCGGCTTATTGAGATTACTTACAGCACTAGAAGGTCAATTGGGTTCTCTTGGACCGAAGATAGTATCTCTTCTTTCAAAAGCATTAGCCGCAGAAAAAGCAAAACCGAACTCTGCCGAAGAATTACTCTACGACGAAGAAGTGAGCGTGCTTTTCGAAACTGTTAAAGAAAAACTTAAAGGTCAATTGTTTGCCGGAATGATAGAGAAAATGGCTATAACACCAACGAAAACGGCAATCCAAAATATCGCACAGTTGTTACATAAAGCGGCAGAGAATAAAAAGAAAATGGAAGAGGAGAAGAAGGAAAAGAAAGAAATGGGGACTGCAAAATCGACAAATTATATCCAAAGAACTGTATATCCTAGGTCGGTGGAGGTAATTACACCTACGATTAAATCCGAACCAGTTAGTGTACCTGGTGTTGGTACTATAGATAAAGTAGCCATAGCTCGACAAATAGCAGCTGCTCTGGTAGCTCAAGGTAAATCAAATGTATCGCAAGAAGAACTGGAAACTCTAACTAATGCTGTTGTTGGAATGGCTGAAGCGTCCAAAAATTCCGATAAACCAGTAACAACGGCTGACTTCGTAAAAGGATTGGCTAAAAGCAATACTTCTGTTTCTCAAACTACATCTGTTTCTGCGACGTTAACAACAGCAGGTACGGTTGATCATCAAACTTTTAAAATGGAAAGTTTGTCAGACGCGGATTTGAAATCTCTTTTACAAAATTTTAAAGACTTATCCACTCAAGAACAACATGGACTGATTAATTTCTTAAAGAAGTTAGAAGCAACAGATCCTGTTCGAGTAGAAAAATTAAGAGGGTTTGTTAATTTAGGTACTACGTCCATGTCATCGATGCCAAAAATAAAATCTCCAACACCAGAGAATACGGAAACCAGTATTAAATTGGGCAGAAGTATTTCGCCATTTTCTGTGCTGAAGGGAAATCAAAATCCTGTTGAAGAGGAAGATAAGTGGAAGCCTAAAATAGACATGTTTGCAAATGATGACGAGGAAGAACAAACTAAGAATGACAACGAAGACAAGCAAAAGGCGAAATTGGATTTATCAGATGACGACGATGATTATACATTTGAAGATATTTATAAAGCAGCAGATAAGAATGTTAGCGAAAATGAGAAGGTGAAGAAAAAGTCACGAGAATTTTCAAAATCTGTGTCAAATTCACCAAGATCCTGGACACGATCTCGATCGCGTTCAAGATCACGGTCTCCAGTAAGGCCAAAGGAATTAACAAAAACAAACGATCCAAATGCAATACTAAACGAGACTAAACGATTAATCGCTCATATAATGGGAGATCTTCCAAATAAGTATGTGCCAAAGACGCACTTGCCGCTTGCGAATGGAAATGTTGAACAAGACGCATCGAAGCCGTTAGATCAAATTCTTAACACGACAATGGCCCCGCTATTAAACTTTTACAATCAAGGATACGTTCGGAATACTCAACAATCGTATCTCCGTCCACAAGCACCTCCCCTCAGTTATCCTAACATACCCAATCAACAATTTCAAAGTTATCCTCATCAGCAAGTTTACGGCAGTAATCAGAATTATGTGGACAATGGTTACAATTATCAAGGATATGGTGGTGTAAGCAATCAGGGTCAATACAGTGTATCACCCATAGCGTCAAATCAATATCCAAATCAACACTAGGCAAAATTTGCTTAAATGAGACAAGTGACTATTAATGTATAAAATTATTGGACGTTTTATTCTTTTCTCAGTGAACTAAGATTCAAAAACATTTGTAATGAATTCATAAAAATTTTTAGCATGCATGCAGCCACTGTCTGAAAATCCAAATGCAAATTTGGAGAGAGTTATTTCTGCAGCATTATTTGACAAAGATTTTTCATTAAAGAGAACAACGGTTGGGGCAAGATCACCAGTAGCATTACTTGTAACCAAAATAGTGATGTTTTCTTTCTCATTATTATTAATAATGTTATAAACATTTTTGCATTCTTTCGGTGCATTCAAAATAGGAGGTTTAGGACTTAAAGCCAGACCTGTCTCATCACTATTGAAGATTCTGTTAGTTTTTATTAATAATAGATTTTGTTCTCTCAAATAGTCTGAAACATTTTGAAACCAGTATCGTAAACTGTGCTCGGATACCTTAGCTCTATTTAGGGAAACATTTTCTGACATTATTACTGTGATTTCCTCATGCCTCTTTAAAAATGAGTTGTACCAACATCTTTCAGGTTTATTATCCCTAAACTGACTTTTCTTTTTCATACTTTGGCATATCAGTTGCACATTATCAATTAATTGAGATTTTGTTACTGAAAAATCTCTTTTAGAACATTCCAGAATCCAATCGGCGAAATCTTTTTTTTTTTGCATTCAAAATAGCTGCTGGTCCAGACTTTTCATCGGCATAAAGTCCTAATTTCTTCGCCCTTAAGGTCGTTTCTGGAATTTTATATTTCCGAGATACTTCTGCAATAGAGTCTCCTCCACGAATTTCTTGCAAGGGTAACGTCACGTTTACCTTAGGGTAGCAGTAGTTGTCTTTATATCGTTTGATATTTTTTGACCTCTTCTCTTTGTACATTTTCCATTTTCTTTTAAACATATACACACATCTACAATTCTTAGGATCGAGATATTCTCACTGTAGCATTTTACAAATTAGGTATATATAGGTACTTTACGATCAAGCCTGTTACACCGGCTCATCGAGAACTGCACTGTATAGGTTAAGGTGCAGTAAAGCATCGCAGTAATGTACAAAAAAGCTATGTACCAAATACTGTATTAGTATATATGTAATATTTGAGGATAGATGACAATGATTGTGTGTCATTAAGTGTGTGTGTGTTTTTATTAAAGTAATGATTTCTTTATCTAAAAATAATGCTAAAATGAATAGTTTATTATTAATTACCAAAATATAAATGCCTTTGGAATCAGCGTTCACAGCTGTCATTACGAGTATTTCATAAGATTCGACGTTCTCATAAGCTTCAGAATATCAAAAGTCAATAAATAAATTAAAACTGCGATTTCTGTTACTTGTACGTCATAAATTATTAATATTAAACATATAAAAAATTATGAGATCCATTTTTAGAAGATTAGATATTATAAAATGTTAGATTTTATTACTTTTATAGTATACCACAGTATTTGAGGTGTCGGCAGTAATCCCCACACTTATCCTATAATCATTGCTATTCACGTTCGTACGATGAACGATTCTAACGTGTTCATCAGAACGCTAGTTCGTACGAATCTGCATCCTCTGTAACCGCAGCCTAATTCGGTTTTTTTCCGATCTATTCGATCTTTTTCGAACCGTTCGGTTTCTTTCGATCTATTCGATCTTTTTCGAACCGTTCGGTTTCTTTCGAACTATTCGATTTCTTCCGAATCGTTCGATTCTTTCCGAGCTATTCGAATTTTTTTTAACTGTTTGATTTTTTCCGAGCTGCTCGATTCAATAGAATTCTTGGATTGGTTAGATCATTCAACCCAACTATGTTCGCTTTTTCCGAAAATTCCATCACCTGTAACTACAAGATTACTGTAAACTATACAGGGTGAGTCTCGTTACATGGCGACATTAGATAACTCATAGAATATTTGTTGTATGAAAAAATGTTTTGCTTCTAAGCTTGTAATCTGTTTTATGTTATTTTGCTTTTTTATCAAGATGTGAAGGTCACCTTCAATTTTTAAAAATGAAATAGTTAATATTTATTCCCAAATTCGGCTAAAACGTTGAATTCTACATAAAAAAGTATTACACAAAATGGAATCTAAGATACATAGTTACTGAGATATTAGCGAAAGTAAGCCTTGTTTATTAGGAAAGACCATTAACCAACGAGACTGTTAACACAATTTAGTCACTTCGTTTATCTATTGGAAAACAGTCATAGATGCTTCTCGTTGTACGTAGATTGCTCTGTTTGCCTTTGTCGTTTCCGTAACTATTTTTCTATGGCTAATTCTCTAAGTTTCTTTTCCACATCTATTTTTTCCCTTCCCAGGTTATTCATTCCTTCCTGCCTCAATCCATTTCTGCCTGAATATCCTTTTTCTTCTTCTACGCTTCTCCTTTGCTCTTCTTCTTTTTTCATTTCTTCGAAGCATCCTTTAACAACTTTTCTTTTATCTGTTGCCCTCGTTCTCATCTTTTCCAAATCTTTATGCTATTTGGCTTCTTAAGATCTCGCTTGTACTTCTAACGTATAAAGATTTTTCTCGTACGTTTTACAATTTTTCTAAATCTGTTTTTTAAGCATAGAATACGACCTTTGGCGGCCCCATTGACTATGGTGGAAAGAGAGAGTATGCTGCAGTTAAATGCGTTGGCAACGACGCAATTCAGTAAGAGACTTATTTTGACTGACTTTGGGACTTACTAAAGATTGTGTGGTGGCTAACTCCAGACTCGCTAACAGATGGTTCCTCTTCCCGCAAGTAACCGATCCGCCTCAATTTGTATATGTACGGACTTCTTCCTTCCTACTGCATCCCAACGTCTAAGGCAAGGGCCCGTTAGGATAGCCTTACTGATGAGTCCTCTAGCGGGTCCTGGACGAAACGTCTCCCCCTCTCCTTTTCTCCTTGAACAGTCACATCAATCACCGCCAAATTGGTGACCCCGACGACGTATACAACAACGCAGCCTTCTGATTGACCTGCAGCACTACCTGGAGACGCCAGAAGGATTTAAATAGACCGAGACTACGTAATCCCTCTGCTAGTGTGGCCATCGCTGTCGATCTGCTTAGACGCTTGGCACCCTGGATTTTTGCGAGATCCTGGACCTACGACGACGTCAACAGATCGGCGGACATCACGAGGACAACGCGTCACGTTACAGAAAGGCCATGCTAGGACCGCAGCATCTACGGCTCGATTCTGGTAAAAGTCGACTCACTGCCTCGCCACGACGACTGCACGAGCAACGAGTTCACAACCGGCGGAGCAACGCGCTCACGACAAGGATGACACACTGACTCATGAAAGCCTCAGCATCAAAATGCGTGTCAGGTCGAGTAGAGCAATGAAGGCTCCTCCTTACGACCGCGTCGATGTCTATAAGGTACAGCAAAAATGAACGAGTCGCAACAGATAAAAGTTCAGGCAGCTTCAGTAGAAATGCAGCACATCGTCATCGAGTGGGCCAACGAAGGCGATCGTCCTCCTGGAATCTAACATCAAGCATGGAAAGGACCATCTAGATATCGTTATCCACTGGCAGGGGGGTATGTGGCGGCTACCTCCAGACCAGCCAACAGATGGCTCCTATATACAGACTTCTGTGGCGGATTGTGTGGTGTTTGGTTCTCTTAAGCTGGTTCTCTGAGAACAGGGATCGATGGCGCTCCGGTAATAAGGAGACACGTGGTTTCGCCTAACTTGTAGCTTGCTTTGTTTCTCCTTATGTGTACGTCTATACGCGTGGGAGGCTGATCTTAGACTGAGGGAGAGACTAGTGGTTTAGGTAGCAACGTCTAGTAACTAAATTGTAGGTGGCGCTGTGTGCCGCTTGTACGGGCGTACGCCACAACCACTCTCCCCCGAGATATAAAACTATATACAATAACAAAATATATTGTGAATTCGGTAACATAACAATAATAATTATACAGTAAATGTGACTTTTTTGGGTCCTTGATACGTTCGTAATTGTGAACTGGTTGGTTTTTCTTGGATTTTTTCCAAGAATGCTGGTTTTAAACGTTCCGTGGTTAAATTAGTGTGTCTTCCTTTGTAATCCACCTTGAAAATTCGGTCTGTTACCCTTTCGATGATTGCAAAAGGCCCTTCGTATGGGGGTTCTAATGGTTTCCTGGCTGCGTCAACTCGTACGAAGACGTGTGTGCATTCAGATAAAGATTTGTGAATGAAGCATCTTGGTTTGATATGGTGTGCTGTTGGTACTGGTCGGACTTTCCTAATATGTTCTCTGAATTTTTCTATGAAGATTTGTGGGTTGCTTTGTGGTTCTTCTTCTAGGAAGAATTCTCCTGGAAGACGTAGAGGTGTTCCGTACAGCATCTCTGCTGCTGTAGCTTTTATATCTTCCTTGAAACTTGTCC